CAATTTGTTATGCCATCTGCAAGGCATGGGACACAGTATAGGGAAGGCTGGAGCTGTGTATACCACCCTAGGCATCAGGGCATTAAATGGGCAGCCTCCCGCATTTTAACATCCAGTTTTAAAACAGCAGGTCATGGCAGGTGAGACAGGGCAGACTGCCCTAGGCAGGTGGGTGGGCCAATGATGAGACCCGGCCCAGAGACAGCCCCCTTTCATATACAGGTAATAACTTAATGTGCTGTAATTGGTGCTACTATACACTAGAGCCAGCACGTTTTTTTCATTATGCTAATGTTCAGTATACTAATTCTACTACACATTAGTGCATTAGCACAGTTTTTGTTGGCCATGCTAATATACAATAGAATTAGTCTGCTATGCCTTTAGCATCTTGTGCAGACACACCCACTCTGATCCTTTCCCACAAAAAATCACTTTAGTCACACTTACATTTTAACTCATTTATAAATAACCACTCCCCTCCCAGTTCCTATGAACTTGTTCTAGCTTCCCTCTTCAGTATACATTCTACTGCCCTCGTCATAAAGCTCCACTATCTGAAGATCCTACAACTAAATCTGGAAAGGTCTCTTTTGGATTCCTTGTCAGTGTGTGTCTATCTGTTCATTAATGCACCTTAGGTACTGTGCATTTAGTTTAGTACTTGCTTAATAAAGTACTAACTAAATGCACAGTAACTAGTTACTTGCAGTAGCACTGGCACATGGTTTTTTTGTGATGCTTACTGTGCAGTATCCTAATAACACTGCACAGTAGGCTATTAGCATGGTTTTAACCACCATGCTATTTGCCAGCGTTAATTGGCTAATGCATAGGAAGTGTCTCATGTAGACGTGCCTGGTGAACACTTAAATAGACAATGCCCTGGTTCACCAAGAAACTACAGAAGCTCTGGTCAGTGACGCATTCCTAAATGCCGAGCCAGTTTTCAAGGCACAGGGATCAAGAGAGTTTCAATGTGAGACAAACTTCAGAAAGTTGCATAAATGTGAGGAGGGTGGGAAACAAGGAAAAGCTACTGAAGGCTTGGGGAAAGAATGGAATCTCTCTGGTGTTCTGGGACTGGAGCTGTGGGATAAGAGCAGTCACTAAAAAAGAAGATTCCCCTCACATAAACTACCCTGAATATGGCCTAATTTAAGTAAGGTCAAGGGCTTAGTTTCATGTGTGTTCTTATTTTAAAAAAAACCAGTTTGCCCATCCCTAATAATGGGCTGTGTTCTGTAAGAGTTTCACGTGTGCGGGTGCTGCCTTAGCCATGAGAGTCTTGCAAGTTGCTCAACTGCTTCTGGCAGGCTACCATCAAATCATTTACAGCAACACAGGGCTACTGACCTTCTGACTCTCAAGTGAGGATTTAAAATGTTTGGAGTCAAGTAAGCACAGTTTTATAAATCACATGGGCTGTGTGTCTTTGTGGGAAATCTTCCATTGATGTAGCTTTCAGCAAGGGTATTTCCACATCTCAGTGCTACTCAGAACAGGCCTAGAGAGAACTGATAGAAAGGTCAACAGCCCCAAACCCTACCTACTACATTAGTGCTCCCCCATTGCTCCACCAATGGTAATGCAATAATGTGAGAGTTCTCAAAAGAAGCTAGTGAAAATAATGCCCAAGTCAGATTATCTGATACTCATTCAGAGACGCTTGATAAAATTAGAGGAACAAAATCATATTTTTCTGCCCGAATCTTCATTCACCATGCCAGAAAAATATAGTGGGTAACGGAAAAGCATTTTTGTTAGAAATGTTTAACAAGTTAGAAGAAAATGCAGTTGATTTTTCTGTAGAATCCAGCTTCTTCTAAATCCTTCTCCATAGCTTTGCTTGATGCACAATGGGAGAAAGAGTTCTGTGGATGTCTAGAAGTTATATTTGTCTCAACTTTGAGGTATTCCACTGATAGCAACAGATATTATTTACTAGATACCCCCACTTCAACACATTTTGGAAGTCTGTTTCCTCCTAGGTAGAAGAGAATCAACCCTGTGTACATGCCTGCTGCAAGTAAAATGAAGGAGCGTGGCCCTTCTACCTTTTAGTCCAATAGCTTAGTGGTTAGGGCAACTGTCCATGGAGCAGCAGGCCCAGATTCCAAATCACCCTCGCTCACATGGGGTTTGAACACCATTTTCCACTTCGTAGCATAGTGCTCTAAACCACTGGCTTGGCATCACTCAGAGCACTTTCCAGCCCTCCCCTTCTAGGTGGCCCTCTGCACCTTGAATGTCATAATTTCTACAAGTAGGAGTTGAGGTTCAACTTTAAAAAGTGGGACCCCTGTCTTCTGGAGCAAGCAACAGAACCACAGTCCTCAGTGAGTTAGCTTCAAGAGGGCAGAAGAGTGTTCTGGGCAATGCCTAGCCTGTAGCCTGGTGTTTAGACCACTTTGCGGAGGTGCAGTTTCAAATCCCACTTTGGGTGAAAGGGGATAAGGACTCGGGTCTGTGGCTCCCTTGGCATGTGCCCTCATCACTGGATTAAAAATACAGAAGAGCCCTTTTTCCACCATGGTTTTTCTCCCATTAAAATTTTAGGACTTACCAAGCATTATGCACATACTTAAGTGATTTTAGTCTCCCAAGCAGCTGCCTAGCCATACCACAGCCAGGTGGTATCTTAATAGACAGGCTACACTCTATCCCAAGCTGTGCATAAAAGTGTCAAAAACTGCTGTGACTATGCCCTTAGATCTTACTGATCACAATGAATGCAGTCTATTTGACCATCTCAGACCAGTTCCTGCTAGACACTGCTCTCTTCAGGGCAGTTCAGTATTGCAAGCTACTGTAAGGATAGAGAAGAAATTAAAATGTATTCCAAATCTGAATGATGTGGACAAGTTGCTGCTCAATCAAGCACTTGAATCTGTTGGGAAATAGCACATAAATCCTCAAATTATAGCTAAAGCCTTAGACAAAGAAATAAACAAATACTGTTTCATATGGCAGTAATACACAAGATTTCTACTTGCCAAAGAGTTAGAAAAGTGTAAATGTTCACACAGTTTAAGAGGGAAAAAATTAGTGTACATAATCAGGGAAAGAAAACTACCAAGTAGTGAATACTTGAATTTTATGTAGCTTTCTTTTGAAAGGCTGCCTGCATTTAGAGTTCGCATTTCTTCTTTTTCATGAGCTGTGCACACTCCAAGGAATGACTTCAGTGAAAATGAAAACAGTTTGAGTCTTTAAATAGTTTAAATGTTTAAAAAGCCCAGTGACCCTGGACCAGGATCCTGGACCCTTGAGCGCCATGAAAATCTTACCAGAGTTCTGTGCAATATTAGCATCTATGTATGGTTCACAAGAAAAAACCCAGAGGTTTAAAATAGGAATCTATAGGGTCACAAAAAAAAAAAAACCCTGATCTGTTGTGGGTTTTCTGAGCTCTTTGCAACAGAAGGATTGCTCTATTGTTTTTCTGTGGTCAAGAAATGGATGAAAGCTAAAAGCTGGCATTTTCTGAATAGTGCCTTGAGTCTAAAGGGGTTGAGAACCACTGGTCTATTAAGTTGAGCTGAAAGTAAACCTAGCACCAGGCAGGAGAGAGAATCAGTCCTTTCCCTTGAGATGTCAATATGATCCCTTTAAAACTTTCCAGGCAGATTTTAGCATAGGAACAAGCACAGGTTGTACAACATTTACCAGGCGCAAAACTGGTTTTGAAAGGCAAAATTTCCTGTAAACCACTAGCACAAAAGGGATCAAGTTTGGAATGTAAATAATTCTGTGCAGAACCTGGTACATCCCCTTACCAGACACACAAATAAACTGACGAGAAATACATGACTTTGGTTAATTAACACACAAAAAAATGAATTCTAGAACGCTACCAAGATTCCATTGTTCCAAACTGTTTGCTGCAGTGTCCAATAAATGGCAAATGCTAAAGCAACCTTAGCGTTATCATTAATATATTATTGCAAAGGGAGAACATTATTATTAGTCTGAATTATCCTTTTTAGGACTGTTTTCTTTTTGGGAGGGAAGAAGGAGCTAGGCTGATGAGCACAGCAGCTCCTGCATTATTATCCATTGACTTTCCCTGAATGTGAGAAAAGGTGCCAATGCATTGATCTGGTGCCTTCAAATGTGCAGCACCCCTTTCCCCACCCTCCCCCACCAGCTTTCTGTGCACACACCTACCAAATACATACCTATATACAAGTGAGCACACACCTACTAAATATATACATCATTTCTCAGCAAGCTCAACAAAGACAAAAATTAGCTGCTTTGGGCTTCTACAATGCAGATGTTCTCTCCCAAATCCCAATGACATCCAGTACATTATATATGTATGTGTGTTTATATGTGTGTGTCCGCGTGTGGTGTGGGGGTGGTGTCTACACCATACACTACATCATCATAGCAATAAGCTACGGCAACATAACTCGTCGCTAAGGCAGCATATTGTCAGTGGGCACTAACCGCGATGCCGCTGCTACTGCACAGTAGCAATGACCTGTGTGCTGCCAGGGCTGCGCAGTACTGGCAGAAACAGCACAGGCATTTAGTACTGTGCTAAAGCAAGTGACTGCACAGTACCAGCTGCGCAGTGGGGCACACATGTAGACACGTTCTGTATGTATACGTGTGTGTATATACATGGGTGACTGGTGCTGCCTTAGTCGGGGGGGATCCCCCCATGGCCAGTCTGCACTCTCAAGGGGTGCACGTGCAACCCCATGCACCCCCTACGTGTCACCATGTCTGTGTATGTAGATAGATATGTGTGTATACTGTATCTGTGTCCGTGTGTCTTGAGATAGCTAGATAAATAGATATGTGTGTGTGTATATACACACACACACGATATGTGTGCATGTCTGTGTATGTATATAAATATATGTGTATACTGTATCTGTGTCCATGTGTTTGTAGATAGATAAATAGATATGTATGTATGTATATGCATGTGTATGTGTGTGTGTGTATATACACACACACGTGTGCATGTCTATGTGTATATAGATATGTGTGTATACTGTATCAGTGTCCATGTGTCTGGAGATTGTGTGTGTATATGTGTATATTAACCATATGCATGCCTGTGTTTATAGACAGATAGATGTATATGTCTGTAGATAGATAGGTATCTGTGTGTCTGCAGATGATACACAGACAGATAGAAGTGCGCGCGTGCATACGCCGCATATGTGTGTGTCCCTAGATGGACAGACAGATAGCCAGCTATGCGTGTGTGCGTGCGCACTTTCCTTCTGGCTATAACCAAAACAGAAGCGCTTGGTTCCGCTGGCAGCTGCCGGCGGGCGTTTGCAGCAATCGCTGGTTTCTTTCTTCTTTTTTTCTGGCCAGCGACTGCCCGGAGTCCGAGGGACACTGCGTCAGCACCGCGCCCCGCGTGCGCGCCCGGCCGCCGGTGACACACGGGCCCGGGCGCCCTGTTCTTTCCACGAGCAAATAGGCGCCGCGCGGGGGGCGGGGCCCAGCGGAGCCCCGCCCCCGCCGCGCTCTATAAGGGCCGCCGCTGGCCCGCGCCCGCAGTGCCTGCCTTGCTAGAGCTGCCCCGGAGCCCGTAGCATCCTAGCATGCAGAGTGCCGTGTTCTTTGCTCTCCAGCACAACTGCGGACAAATGGAGTGGACTGCCGGCGGCTGCCAGAGCAAAGAGGAGAAGAAAGGGAAGATGAAGAGAACGATGTGAGTTGATCTGAGCTGTACGCCTGTCCTTGCCCAGGTCCCTGCAGAGCTACCTGTAGCTTTCAGGGTCGGGATTTGAGTGTGCCTCTCAGCTGGAAGAGCCTTTGATCTGTAAATAGGCATCTATAGACATAGGGATCTATGATCAATCGATATGCATATATATACATACACCCCTGCCCCCCGTATTTGTGTGTGTGTGTGCATATCATCTGGAAATAGGCATAGGCATCTATACACACACATCTATTTATAGGTGCCTATGTATATGTATACTTATTTGTGTATAGACATATCATTTATAGACATTGGCAGCTATAAATAGATGTAGAAGTGTATATGGGTATGCATATTTGTGTGTGTATACATATCTGTAAATAGACATGTATGTCTAGCTGTTTATAGGTGCCTATGTCTGTGTGTGTGTGTGTGTGTGTATATGTATATTTATTTGTGTGTACACATAGGCATCTATAAATGGGGTGTGGGTGTGTGTGTGTATATACACACAGATCTAGTAGATGGATCGGTTGATTTATCTATCAGACTTGAGCATTAGTGACACTTACATTTAAATAGGGCATTTACAGGGCCTTGGTGGTCTGTTTTAAACAAAAAATGCTTCCTGCTCTGATGCAAGTACAAGGGCAAGGACAGAATGGGGTATTTTATGTATTGGATGTCAGGGGGATTTAGGGAAGCCCAAATTGTAGAAGCCCAGAGCAGCTAAGTGCTTGTTTGCTGAACTCTTGCTGAGAGAGGTGATGGCTGGGGTGGGTCGGGTGCATGTTTGAATGGGGATATGAATACAGATATTGTTGTTTTGCCTAGAAGCAGTGAGGTTGTACAGGGTGGGTGATGTCTTCCAATAATCCTGTGCTGCATACAGGGTATGAGAAGTTGAAAATGTTTCAGGGACCCATCATCCCGAAACAAAGAATCTTTGAAAAGCTTGCATTGACTTGATTGTCTGCATTATCTGATGGGACCTGTGATATTTAAACTGTAAGGGACAGGCTGTTGTGAAGTTCCCGGTATCATAAAAGGGTCTGTGCACCATTCCATGCTGCAGCTTTACTCTTTTTTTTGCTGCTTTACAGATTTCATAGTGTGGCCCTAAAAGAACCCGGCCTCTTAAGTGAACATTTGGGATTCTGGGAGTCCAAATATTGGTCCTCAGACTGAAAGATCAAATCTCTCTAAATTTAAATTTATTTGTAATAAAAAGTTCTTCTAAGAATGGTACACTTGAGACTTAATTCTCATTTTAGCCTCTGACAAGGTAAAATGCCCATTGATCATGGAAAGATTGAGTCCAGGTCAACATGGTATATTGTGTCACGTTCAAAAACACACCTCTATTTATTTAACTATTCAGAGATGCCTTAGTAACAGTTAGTCATTGTCCTGTCACAGGATAGGGGCTGGTCTGCTCACCTTAGCAGTGAAACTCTGTGCTCCCTGAAATAGGAGTCATACCTTTCTGAAATGGAAATTAAAGATGTGGAATCTGGTCCCACAGCTGCTGGGCTGGCAAAACTGGCATGAAACACTAATGAAAAATTTTGCAATGTTCTTTCTGGTCTTGTCCTAGCCGGGAAAAAAATTGTGAAGATGTAACAACATTTTTTTTTTTTAATGAACTGTTTATTTAATATAGTATTGTCTTATTTTCTAGTGTTAAAGATTGGAAAACAAGATTGAGCTATTTCCTGCAAAATTCTTCCACTTCTCGCAAAACAAAGCCCAAGAAAAAGGGAAAACAACATGCTTACTTCAGGTAACTTAAAGATTTAGATTTCGCTCAAATGAATCACAGATATTTTAAATGTGAAAGGAACAAAACCATCTAACATTGTCTCTCTCTCTATACAGGCCTTCTCCTGAAGAAGCCCAGCTGTGGTCAGAAGCTTTTGATGAACTGCTAACTAACAAATGTAAGTCAGTCTTGAAAGAAGATTGTAATCTTGAAAATAAAAGGTTGCTCACTCTCTCTAGTTTTTAGGAAAGGCTGTCACAAATAAGAATAAGTCGTGGTCTTCGGTGCACATCCAGATTCTAAATTGCTCATTGAACAACTTTGTGTGTGCTTGAATATCTAAGCCCCAGCACATCCTTTTTATAAAATGTCTGCGTGCACCCAGAAAATGTTAAGAGAACGTCTCATGAGAAACGTTTCTGACTGCAAAATCTTTATTTCTTGCTGTAGCCCTAATCT